ATGGTGCCTATCTCCATGTGCATAATTCTGAGTCCCCGGGCTTGAACTTCTTGCACATATGGCTGCAGAGTCTGTTGTATACAGTACACAGTCTCAATGAATCGGTCATATGGATGTGCTGGGATGACAATACTTACAACAGTTTACAAGTAACACGATCTAAATATAATTGTCTGTTTCTAGAGGTTGAGGGTTTAATTCCCGGTAAGGACTGGGATTTCTTCACATGGACTTGTACTTCTAGTAATTCCCCCTTGTCTCTGCGTAGTAAGATCGGACGCCAGTGTGCATTGTTGGAAATCGAAAAGAGTAGCCTACCGGCACTGCCCGGGCAAAATTTAAAGTTAAAAATCTAACCAGCGTATTCAGGTTCCTCGCTGGTGCTACAGAGCCTGTGCACTGTGCTGAGCTTCTTCAGGCTCAGACTTGATGAAGAAAAACGGAGCACTTATGTGCCATGATGTTGATTGATTGTTCAAAACCTCTTCTTCAGCTCCTCTTTTACTACTTGGAGGGAGATATACGGTCCTGCTTCATGCTCTTCTAGCTGCTTTGACCATAGACACATTGTGGTGCTGTAGAGTTTCTCAGATGTTTTCTTTCCATCTTGTTCTTGTTCTGCTCCTTGATCTACATCCTTCATCTTCTTTGTTAAATGCCTTGTATTGGTATCGCATCAAAGGCATTCTCCCCAAGTGGGCAAACCATTTGATTTGCTGTCTTTGTGTGTAATTTAGAATTGGTTCTGTGCCAACTTTATCTCATATGACTTTATTCCTCATTTTATCTCGTCTGATCACTCTTACAGTCTTTCTCAGACACCTCATTTCATTGTTACAAAATTTTTTGAAAGGTCATTAAATGATTTAAATGCTTTTAACTTTGACATTAGTTGTGTAGTGTTTGTCAGCTGCTGCTGCTTCATCTTGTTCATCACATACAGCATACATACACACACACACACATTGTATTGCCCTTTTTATCTTATTTAGTTGCTGTCTCCTTTTTTTTCTGACTCTTTCTTTCTCCTTCACTCCCTCCATTCCTCCTCCTCCACTCAGTTGTTCATTCATTAGTCACATTTTGATCTCATTCAGGCTATAGTGAGTTTAGGCCTCCAGCTTAGTCCCACTACACAGATGACCTTGAGGGAAAGCTTGAATATTGATCAGAATGGTCAGGTGAAATTTGAAGGTAAGTGGCCAGGCTTGTTGTTTTCTTTTTTAAATGTTTTATCCTAAAAGTCATATTTGTTTATAGAAATCTTTATGGCTAAATGGTCAGCACACCATAGTTGGGCTAAATGATTTTGCAAGATTTTTTTAAAAATAATTTCTCACTTTCCTATATACTTTTCATAGTTTTCTTCTTCTTCTTTTTTTTTACGCTCACCAGCTGTTAACTCTGGTCAAAAGTTCATATTTTAGCTAAAGTGCTTCATTTATTGTGTTCTAATAGTTTATATTCGCAAGAAAGTTTTTTTTTTTTCTTCTTTTTTTTTTTTGTGTGGGCCATTTTGGGCGGTTGTTTGTTCCACTTCTGGACTTAGTCTTGTTCCAGAACATTATGTTTTGCATGCAAATCTGTTTTAAAGATCTGGCTTATTTGTGTGCAGACTATTGGTTCCTTACCTCTGAGGCAGATAAACTCTTGACTTAGAAGAAAAACCCTCATTATTTTACTCTTACGACATACATATTAGAGGGGCAGTGGGACTATTCTTGTTTTCCCTATAATGGGGCTCTAGCACCCACACAGGGATCCTAATTCTCAGTCTTTCACCATTATGTCTCTTAATTGTTTTGCCATAACTTTTTACAGTGCCTCAGTCTGTCACCATTATGTCTCTTAATTGTTTTGCCATAACTTTTTACAGTGCCTCAGTCTTTCACCATTATGTCTCTTTATTGTTTTGCCATAACTTTTTACAGTGCCTCAGTCTTTCACCATTATGTCTCTTAATTGTTTTGCCATAACTTTTTACAGTGCCTCAGTCTTTCACCATTATGTCTCTTTATTGTTTTGCCATAACTTTTTACAGTGCCTTAGTCTTTCACCATTATGTCTCTCTATTGTTTTGCCTAACTTTTTACAGTGCCTCAGTCTTTCACCATTATGTCTCTTAATTGTTTTGCCATAACTTTTTACAGTGCCTCAGTCTTTCACCATTATGTCTCTTAATTGTTTTGCCATAACTTTTTACAGTGCCTCAGTCTTTCACCATTATGTCTCTTTATTGTTTTGCCATAACTTTTTACAGTGCCTCAGTCTTTCACCATTATGTCTCTTAATTGTTTTGCCATAACTTTTACAGTGCCTCAGTCTTTCACCATTATGTCTCTTAATTGTTTTTGCCATAACTTTTTACAGTGCCTCAGTCTGTCACCATTATGTCTCTTAATTGTTTTGCCATAAACTTTTTACAGTGCCTCAGTCTTTCACCATTATGTCTCTTTATTGTTTTGCCATAACTTTTTACAGTGCCTCAGTCTTTCACCATTATGTCTCTTAATTGTTTTGCCATAACTTTTTACAGTGCCTCAGTCTTTCACCATTATGTCTCTTTATTGTTTTGCCATAACTTTTTACAGTGCCTTAGTCTTTCACCATTATGTCTCTCTATTGTTTTGCCTAACTTTTTACAGTGCCTCAGTCTTTCACCATTATGTCTCTTAATTGTTTTGCCATAACTTTTTACAGTGCCTCAGTCTTTCACCATTATGTCTCTTAATTGTTTTGCCATAACTTTTTACAGTGCCTCAGTCTTTCACCATTATGTCTCTTTATTGTTTTGCCATAACTTTTTACAGTGTCTTAGTCTTTCACCATTATGTCTCTTTATTGTTTTGCCTAACTTTTTACAGTGCCTTAGTCTTTCACCATTATGTCTCTTAATTGTTTTGCCATAACTTTTTACAGTGCCTTAGTCTTTCACCATTATGTCTCTTAATTGTTTTGCCATAACTTTTTACAGTGCCTTAGTCTTTCACCATTATGTCTCTTAATTGTTTTGCCATAACTTTTTACAGTGCCTTAGTCTTTTACCATTATGTCTCTTAATTGTTTTGCCATAACTTTTTACAGTTCTTCGTCTTTCACCATTATGTCTCTTAATTGTTTTGCCATAACTTTTTACAGTTCTTCGTCTTTCACCATTAATAAGCTTAATAATATGTTGTGGTCTGTGTCTGGATAAACAGGGTTAAATCCCTTAGAATTATATGCATCATTGTTTGGAAGATTCGATTGAACCCATCACCCAGTTTTATAGTATTACAGAGACAAGGACCTGAATAACTGTGAACTGGGGAGAAACCATGGCGTTCCAAATGAAGGGACTTAACATGGGAAGTAATGAACACGTGGGTTAAAGATTACAACCAGTTCACTCCTCATGCTCTGCAGAGAATTGAGGGTCCACAGTCGAGCGTCCGAGGAGACAGACATTTGAGTCTGGCAGTTTTCATCAGTGTATGGCGATATTACTGGATCTCTGTCAACATTTGGTGGTGCAGTTACTAACCTTTATGTTGTATGGTTAGCTCTGTAGGCATATATATATATCACACCGATTAAACTGGAGACAAGTGTCTACATGGTCCATGGAGATTGCCATAGAGACTGGAGTTGACCAGTGCTGATGTTCAGTATATGAGGTATTAGATTGATACTTAGAGTTTTTGTAACCAGGCAGCAGATGGACGTCTGGGTTCTTTTCTAAGTTTCTGCATCTGCCAGGAGTTGGTTGGGCGTTCGTCACTTGAAACTTAGAAAAAGAATTTTTTCCTCCTTCTTCTTAGCGTAAACTCTGGGGAACTTAAGTCCTGTTCCAAAACTTCTTTTGCATGCACATCTGTTTTACAAATCTGGTGTATTTGTATGCAGACTAGGTTCCTCATCTCTCATGCAGATGGACTCTTGACTATAAAGGAAACCCCCCCTAATGTCACCTTTTGAGAACATACTTGTTATGAAGGCATTGTCCCCTAATGTTAATGTCCCCAAAGGGTATGCAAACCTTATAGAGGAATGTTATTGCACTAAATATCATTCCCATGTTGTGCATCCAAAGCCTATAAGCCAAGTCTGCTGAAGAGCAAATGTTTACCACTGGCTGCAGTCATTGTTTGGCTCATAGACATATTTCAGACACTGACATTCCTCAGCCGTGTTCAGTTATAATGTAACTAAAAGTGACTGGGTCAGAAATAACGATAACAGGAAAGCAGTTGGGACATAACTAGTTACTAAACTACATCAAGAGATAACAGATCAAATGGGTTGATGTGACCAGAGTTTGAACATATGACCACAGAGAGCCTTATCACTTAGGCATATTAGAAGCAAACACAGAGAACCTTGTCATTTAGGCTTATTGGAAGCAGAACTAGATTTTGACCATGCAAGTAATGGAAAGATTGAATATCCAAGGCCGTAAATACCAGCATTTACTTGGCACATACCAAGGCTCGTACCTGATCCATCTTTAAAACCTGACTCTGAAAGACAGAATAGGACTAGAGGAGAAGAAGAAGTAATGAATGTTATGTCTCTGGGGTCCCCGTGTGTGCTCTGAAGCCCCATCGTAGGTAAAAACAAAAAATATACCCACTGCCTATCTAAAAGCATGTCATAAGAGTCAACTAATTGGGAGCTTCCTGCAAAGTCAGAGTACAGGCAAGGAACCAACAGTCTGCATAAAAATGTGTCATCTGTGAAACGGATGTGCACACTACATTCAGTTTCTGGAACAGGACTAGAGTCCAGAAGTGGACGAACAAACAGAACTTTCCTCAGGAGTTTATAGCCGGTGAATGCAAAGCAGAAGATGGCTCTAGGGAAGATGAAGAAGTTGTTGACCAGAATATCTCTGGGCATAAAAGTTTCCTGTGTAAGAAATTTGGCAAAGGATGACAGCGACCGTCTGCAAAAGACTTTCTGTATTTGATAAGGATACAGTTGACCCATTGTATAAATTTATTTTATTTGCCACTTTACAGATTTTGTGGAAGCTGCCAAAGGTATATTTCAAAATGAGCTTGCAGCATTACGAAGAAGTTTGTCCCCAAAACCATTACGTGAAAATGTGCAGGTACGTTCTAAATTAATTAAGTACATGTTGTATTTTAAACATTTGCAAATAAAGAATAATGAACTGTTACATTTTGCTTCAATTTACTAAAGTCGTGTTCATGCCCAATGCTGTGTAGACAAAATGATAACGTCATGAAAAGGGTCCATTACTTTACAAAAATTGCTAACAAGTATTTATACTAGAAATGTAAGGTCTCTATTGTCTTTGCCTGCATAGAACTACAGGTTACACCTGCTTGTGTAGCCGTTATGGGTGCCCTAATTATAACCTCTTTGTTCTCATGTGGATTCCGGGGCTGCCTTGTAGGGAAAACAAGAATAGACCCACTACCTCCCCAAGAAGCATCTCGTAAGAGTTGACTGATTGGGATGTTTCTTCAAAGTCAGAGTGCCAGCGGTCTGTATACAAATAAGCAAGATCTGTAAAATGGATGGATGCCACGACTTTCTGCAGGGGTTTACAGCCAGTGAACACAAACAAAAAAACCAACAACATAACTTCTTTGTAGGTTGAACGGGATATCTAGGATCTGCCTTGGTGGTCTGCCATCCAGACTGAGATTCTTTCATCTCCAAAACGGTACAGTAAACCTTGGGTAGCAGCCTGACTTTGTAGGTAACACCCTTAATTAGTCACCTCCTCTGACATGGTTGTTAAGTGGCAGTAACACCCCACGCATGTAACACCGCCACCCACCCACTCTCTCACTCACACTCTCTCTTACTCACTGTCTCACTCTCTCTCTCTCACTCACTCACTCTCTCTCTCTTACTCACTCACTCTCTTACTCCCACTCACTCTCACTCACTCTCTCACTCTCTCACTCCCACTCACTCTCACTCACTCACTCTCTCACTCATTCCTCTCACTTTGGCAGAACTCACATGGGGAGTTAAGCTACTGAAAATATTTTATTTGTTTGTGAACAAAAGCAGCAAGTTATAGAAATTTACAAAATATAAAGGTAAACTATTTATAAATATTCCTGTTCATTTGTTTCTTAGCAGAGCAATAGTAGACCATTGGAAGAATATACAAGCATCATCAGTGAGAGAGACCAGCTGAGAGCTGAGGTAGCTGCTCTGAAAGAGGAACTGAGGAATCGTAATCAGTCTAGCAAGAATGTGGAAGAGCAGCTTTTGTTTGTCAGGAAGGTCAGTTTACATTATCATCGTGTGCCGTCCTGATAAGTATAGACAGTTTGCTATCTCACATGATCACCAATCTAGGATCACGCCTGTGTTCTTGTCTTGTTTAGTTCATGTTTTGGGGCTGTCTTAGAATTTCCCTCTTTATCTTTCTGTTGCTTTTTGAGTATTAGGTTTGCCTTTGATCTGTAGGTGTTAAAGTTTATGTCTTTTATGTGTACCTACTGGGGATCCAGAATAATACGTCCCTGCCGAGGTCAAAATTTTGTTCATGTTTGTCTGGTGTTCTTCTTTAATGCGTTCATTTTGACAAGGTTTTTTTAACAGAAGGATCAAGAAGAAAAGGTGTAGGGGGAAGAAGAAGCTGGATATTTTTTCAGAGACATTTTTTTGTTGTTGGTTGCTTTACTTTGTGTCTTCTGTGTTTTTGAACATGTGAGTATTTTGTCAGTCAGATTTTGAAACTTCTTATTGCAGCATGCTCAGGCATCCATAGAAGAGGTGAGGTCGCTGAAGAGTAAGCTTCATTTGTCAGAGCAGGCTCAGACTAAAGCGCAGCAGACAGAACGAGATTATGAGGAGGTTGTAGCCATGTTGGAGAATGAAGTGTCTCAGCTTCGCTTACAGCTGTCTAAATCGGTATGTGGCAGTTTTATTATTCTGAATGTTGGTTGCAATATTTTAAGCATTACTTTATTTTAATTTTCTTGATTATGTTGGCTATTTACATTATTAATTTTTTTTTTTTTTTATAATCGTAGTCTAGTTTCTAGTGTTTCCTTTCTGTAAATGTGTTTCTTGGTGTCGCCCTAGTGCATCTGATTTGTCAGCACTCGGGCCGTCACCCACTTACCTGGGGTAAATATTTCCAGGTGTAAAAAGATAAGGCCCTCACTGCTGACCTACCTATCTTTTGTATTTGGAGAATAGAATAGTATAGGGGAAAAGTTCAGCCGGGAACTTGCTTAGCACAATGGTAACATTCGGTGGTGGAGTATGTAGCAGCGACAGAGTTTAAAGAAGATATGCACCTGAACTAGGGCATTCTCACTTGCTTGGTATGCTGTGATCCTTTGCAGTCTTAAACTGTCTGTGACTCCTTCTGTCCATCTTATTGTAGCTCTGTCTCTGCCTTTTGGTGTTTCACTTTTCATATTGTGTGCTCTCGGTGCCAGCATGGGTGGATTCATTCTCACTAGATGGTCCAACAGTTTCCTTCTTTGTCTGTCAACTTGTTGTAAAACTGATATTAAATAAAGTCAAATGTTCATCCTTCTACACTGTTTAGAAAGCCACAAAAAAAAACGTATAGTTATCCGATGGCTTGTTTTAAATTAGTTGACGGGAAAGTCTGTATGCCTAAGAGGACACAAGGGCAAAGTAACAATGAGAAAGAGCAGGATGGAGGATGACCCACAAGGAAAACATCAGGAAGATAAGAACAGGAGTCGGAAGAAGCTATTTGTCCTTGAGGAAAGGAATATTAAGCCAGAAAGCTGGCGCACATACCTCAATCTTAGCCACGAATATGGCGCAAATAAACCAGACTATAATTATAACTGTGCTCTGTAGGCGAGTATTTATTTGTTTCTAGAACGGTACGGTATCTATGTCTAAAAGCAATCGATGAGCCAGATGCCAAAGAGCTGTCAGTTGATTTGTTGAACCCTAAGGCAATTTGAACAATTCTCATTGATTAAGTTACAAAGATTTTGAATGTCAGAATTATGTTCATTTCAGCAGCTATGCATTTCTGTTTGTCTTTTTTCTTGACTAAAGTCAATGAAACTATAGTCACTGATATCTATTCTATGGCAGGAGGGTGTTCACATGCACAAAAGACTGGCTGTGCTTGTCTGCCAGTTGAAGAAAGCAGAGTCTGGGAAGAAGACGTACGAAGTTGCAACAGAGAAGTTGATCAGATACGTTGAGCACTCACAGGAAGTCTTGGCTTCATTGGCCAGTTCTTCAAGGTACATCCAATCATATTTATGCTAGCATGTGTAAACCAAAAGGTATGCCGCCGTGATGTAGTGGCTAGATGCTCGCCTGCCGGTCCAAAGTCCTGGGTTCAGGTCCTGTCGAAGCCATGAATTTTTTTTTATGTCTTGGCTCCAGGTTGACCCAACCTCAAATGGGTACCGCGTCCTGGGAAGTAAAGGCACCGTCAGCGTAGTGACCACATCACTCACCGAGTTCAGATTGTTCTTTGAATTAATATAGGTCTAGCCTTATGTGCCCAATACACCTGAAGGCATGGAAAGTGGTCCTTTACTTTGCTTTTTTTACTCCAAGCCCATACCAGTTAAATTTAGAGAACCATTAAAGATGAAACAGAAGCAGAAGGAGAAAAATAAGATAGCATATACCAGTGAACGTTACGCTGAAGAGATGGAAAATTCAGTATTTGAGGAAATTTATGATTGACTGAGGAAATTTATGAATACTAAATGGGGTGAGTTTAAGAACTTGAATATCACAGAAATGTCTACACAAACTGTTGTATCATCTGTTATAAAAGAAATAAGTTGATGAAATTTTAGGCAGATTTGAGGGAGAAGGAAGATAAAGATTCACAAAGCAGGTGCAGAAATAGGAAGCAAATGGATTGAGGAAGCCTTCTTCTTCAGGTTCGTCAGCTGTAAACTCCAGCAGGAAGTTCTGGTTGTTTGTCCACTTCTGGGTTTTAGTCTTGTTCCAGAACTTGAGTTGTGTTTGTGTCACATATCACTCCTGTCACGTGCCTGATTTAAGGATTTCTCCTTCAGAACCAACAGCACTCAGAAATAATTATGTTGAGTCGTTTGGCTCGTATTGGTCTAAGGGATTCCCCGTGGCCAATATACGCTCAACTTATTCCTGGAGTAGGGCAACTCAAGTATTGGCACTACAAACTATCTCTGTATATGAATACAATATTCCTAGGCACACTTGGCTGGACACCCCCACTACTTACTAAAGAAAGCCCCCAGGTTATGATAGTTCATTATCATAACCATGTTAACACATATATTTAAGATTCATACACACACAAATGCCAAACACTTAAAAACGTGAAATAGAGACACCTAAGTCAGCCTTGAAAATGAATGCATGTAATCAATACAACAAATACATATATATAATAGTGAAGTAGATGCCAGATCTCAATAGCTGGATCCCAGAATACAATGTCCAGATTACAAAGACAACCAAACAGCCAGAAGGTCCTGGAGATGACACATCGTCATCCTTGGGAAACAAAGGAGCTGTGGGGAATATAGCAAAACATGGCATTAACTGGCACTTATCCTCTTTCTATCGTTGATGCTTCCCTCAGCTCCTGATGATTCGACTGTCTTTGGTAACTCTGCCTCAACTGGATCAGATGGTGAAGAAGTACCTCACCATAAAGGACACAGCAACTGAATAGGCACACAGCAAATCTCTCCCACTAGTCATTCGCAGCACTGTCCCTGAGCTACACACTTGCTCTGGCACTGTAGGATGTTTGGGGTAGATGGCACCCCATCTTGAGGATGTCAGTCTTCACAATTGGTAGTTGGGTGATAATTGGTAGGTAATAGGTTGATGGGTCGTTGGTTGGACTGTGATTCTTCTGCCAGCTCTTCACAAAGGTTTCATCCTGCCAAGAAAGAACTCAGAATTAGTCATCACCAAGAGGGTAACATCTTGACAGGAAAGACAGAATAAGTATCAGTCACCATCCCACATCAGCCTATTCCACCTCTGCTCCCCTGTTTCATTCCTCAGAGTGCACTCTCAAGACCAGGAGACACTGTCTCCTATCATTCATCTGTCTGTTTAGTGCAAGAGATGGAAAGTCAGATATATAGTGGAGATAGATAGACACTCTAACACATATATCAATCTCTCTCCCTCCTCCCATCTGCACACAGACACCAATATTTACCGTCAGTACCTCTATTCCCTACGACTCTCAAGCCAGTCCCACACATTCATTGATCTGGGTCAAACACACTCACGCACTGGCTGACCTAAATTCTCTTTCCCCATTTGTATGCACAAACTTCTGTTGTTAGTTTAATTAGTACACACTTGTAAGGTTATTAGTTTTACCAGTATGTGTGGGTTATTTAGGGCATAGGCTATTTAGTCTGTACAGAGGAAGGTCTAAGTTCGAATCCGCTTCTCTAGCGATCAAGAATGGTCGAACTATGTGTGATCCCACAGCCGATTCTGATCTCTACAGCAGTGACCACTTTAACAGACATCATTTTAGGTACTCGTAAACTATAATTAACTTACCCAAGCATAGGAAAAGTCCTAGGCGCCACAGACCGCCTTTTTAAAATGAAATGTACTGGCGTCGATGGACACGTCTGAGTTCCAGGAAAGCCGGCAGAATAATACCGCTAAATTTCAATTCAGGCGTTGGTAAGAAGTAGTTCCTTGTATACAGGAGCAAGGAGTAAATCGGTTTCTAAGAAACCTCAAATAACTCCACTAATATTTATCCAATAGTTGCAAATTTGAAAACGACGCTAAGTCAAAGCAACTAGAAGATGTAGATATTATAATTATGTCCGATAAAGGCATATATCAATATAAGGGACTATATACCTTTCCGGACGAGTCCAAGTTTGAATGTTGTGTCGAGCACAGGTAAGACAGTTCTCGACTATGTTAAGGTGATGCGTAATGGCTTATCATTCCACGACAGTTTGTACATCTGTTTTACAGATCTGGCTTATTTGTATGCACACTGTTGGTTCCTTGCCTCTCAGGCAGACGCCCTCCAACTTAGAAAAAAAGCCTAATTAGTCTATTTTTTGGGACATGCTTGTGGGGGACAGGGGCAGTGGGTCTATTCTATCTTTCCCCCCCCCCCCCCCTTTCCCCCCCCCCCCCACAGTGGGGCCCAAGAACTGACATAGAGAGGCCATGTAGAGTATCTAAAGACAAGATCTAGGAGATATTCCCTTAATTTATCTTTACTCAGAAATAATTTTGTTTAATAAAACTGCACATTTCAGAACTACAGGGTCCGATGGTGTGACCTCCAAGATAAACAAGAAAAGAGCTTTACATCAGTTGTCAACCGAAGGTGCAGATGTCATTAAGACAGTCAGGTCACTAATGGAAACAGTCTGTAAGTAATGGTTTTTCAACATCGTTCTTTACTTTCATCATTGGGCTGAATGCTTACACATCTTCTTCTTGACTTATAACCTCTGTGACTTATGACTGTCTTCACTCACAACCACAACAATTATATGAACACAGTAAATAAAGAAAGATAACTGTCTTGATAGTGTCAGAAAGTTCGAGGAACTAATACCTATAGTATAGCTGGTTCTAGCCACGAGTTATCTGATGCTTCCGCTTATGGCAGACTGTCTGGAACTCCAGTCTGAATAAAAATAGTGTTTAAGAATATAAATTCAACTTAGTCATTTTGACTTAAGACCTGATGGTCGGAACAGACTTCAGTCGTAAGTCAAGGAGCCTTTGTATTTGTATTTTATTAAAATTAATTGAGCCATTTCCACAAAGGAGTTTGGCTACAATATTTCCACTGCTGACTGTTGGAATATTATATGGTGAGGTCCTCACATCTTCCACAGTGTGACTCTCTTACCACTATCAGAAAGCCACAGGAACTGGCTTTTTCTTAACTGCCCACTGGTTGAATCAAACCCCAGTGTACATCAAGGATTGCATTGTAAAACAATATCCCTAACCTCCAGCCACTGAGCCGCATGTAGTTGTATCTAGGGCTGTACCGAATATTCGCTTTGTATTAGCTTCGGAGCCGAAAAGTGGACCTATTGACTATTCAGTATTTGGCCGAATAGTTGTGGTCGGGCCGAATACGAATAGTAGTTACCTTACACCCGCTTCTGCATACACGGCCTTAGTGCTGACAGCATGGAACGACTGGTTTTAGTGAAAATCATTATTCTTTACAGCCTTAGTTGTATCCTATTTGGCAGAAAGTTCTGGTTGTTTGTCCACTTCTGTACTTTAGACTTGTCCAGAACTTGAGTTTTGTTTTCACATCCAGTTTACTGATCTGGCTTCTTTATAACATATAGATTCTTGATTCTTCATCTCAGGCAGATACAGCACTGTGACTTCCAAGAAGCACCACTAATTAATAGCCTTTAATGATATGCTTGTTTGGGGAGGGGGGTGCTGTGTGTCAATTCTTTGTACGTCTCCAAAATGGAGTCCAGCAACCCACACAAGGGTTGTATTTGTATGAAATTAAAGATACTTCTGAAGCAGATTGCTTGAAAGAAGCTAATAAAAGTAGATCTCTATATATACAACAATAAGAAAGAGACAAACACTGTTCTTTGGCCACATAATGAGAAGAGAGACATTGGAGAACATTGTGACAACTGGAAAGATCAGTGAAAAAAAGGGGGGAGGCAGACTAAGAGAGAGGATGCTGGATGGGCTGAAACAATGGCATAGAGGGATATCATCAAGAGATCTGTTTCAGGCAACCGGGGATCGTGATCTGTGGAGACGCATGAGCGCCTACGCCAGTTGGCAGGGCACATGATGATGATGAAGCAGATACTGCTGTTGGAGTGTGAACTGCTGGGCTTTCACTAATTCTGGGTCATGTTCTACCTTTCCTTCACTTCCAGTAAAATTATCCATTCCCCATTTTATAAACTGGATCAATCCCGGCTGTCGTTGTCATCCTGCTGTGCCATTATACACCACTTGAGGTCTCTCAGTTTATTCTTCAGTTCTGTTCTATCCCATGGAATTTGTTTCAGTATCATGGATGGAATCCAGTTCAGCACCTTTGGCCTCTCTCAGCATTTGTCTTCAGGTTGTTCTTTTTTTTTTTTTTGGGGGGGGGAGGGGGATGTTCTTATTTTCTTATTTAATTGCCTGTATGGTTTTTCTCTTGTTGTTTCTCCTCAGCATGAGCCCAGTATGTCACCTCTGTATTGTAATCTCAACTTTACCATTCGGAAAAATAATTATTCTACCATTGTGAAGGCTTGAACCCAAATCTGTCTTGGTTAGCAATCACCCTTACTGCTGCACTGCCTCATGTCTAGATGTGTGTATGTTTGATTTAATCATTTTGCCGCAATCTGAATAGAATCTTACTGTGTTATCTCTATGCACACAGTGAGAAATGCAGTGGAACTAGAGTGTACTTATGCATGAACCCAAAGGTATATCCACTAGAATGTACTTATGCATGAACCCAAAGGTATATCCACTAGAATGTACTTATGCATGAACCCAAAGGTATTTCCACTAGAATGTACTTATGCGTGAACCCAAAGGTATATCCACTAGAATGTACTTATGCATGAACCCAAAGGTATATCCACTAGAATGTACTTATGCGTGAACCCAAAGGTATATCCACTAGAATGTACTTATGCGTGAACCCAAAGGTATGTCCACTAGAATGTACTTATGCGTGAACCCAAACGTATAGAAGTTTGTTGAGCATCCTTTACAGGATGTTGCAGAACCAGTCCAGCATTTTTTTTGGCTGTTATGGTTTTTCTAGGCAATTTTTGTGTGTGGGCTGCATGGTCTCAAGGCATGGTGTCTGCTTCGAGTGCTAGAGGTTCTGGGTTCAATCCCCGGTGATGGCTGGGATTTGAACATGTGGACTTGGACTTCCCCTGGTCTCTGGGTTGTGAGATCAGAGGCCCGTGTGCATTGTTGCACAGGTAAAAAATCCCTTGGCCGTTGGAAATAGAAAAGAGTAGCCTAACGACGCTTCCCGGGCAAAATCCACCCAAAGTTTTTTCAGAAATCTTGCCGGTGCTAGAGAGCCTGTGCACTGTGCGGAGATTCTTCGCACTCAGACTTGAGTTAGAAGAAGAATGGAGCACTTATGGGTCACTATCCGTGTGCCATGATGTTGATCCGCTGTTCAAAACTTCAAACCTAGGCAAATTTTACATTAAGTAGTTTGCCATTGTTCTCTGAAGTTCAGCTTTCTGTATAACAGCTGAAACCAATGCAGACCAGAAAACACGCAGAAAAGGGGCATTAGAGATATGTGATTATTAGCTGCATAGAAAAACTTCATTTCTAATTTTCCATAATGTGTTTTCTAACTTTCTATAATGTGTTTTCTTATTTTCTGTAATGTGTGTTTTCTAGTTTTCGTTAATGTGTGTTTTCTGGTTTTCATAATATGTGTTGTCTAGTTTTCCTTAATGTGTGTTTTCTAATTGTCATATTGTATTGTCTAATTTTCCTTAATGTGTGTTTTCTAATTTTCATAATATGTATTGTCTAATTTTCCTTAATGTGTGTTTTCTAATTTTCATAATATGTGTTGTCTAGTTTTCCTTAATGAATGTTTTCTAATTTTCATAATATGTGTTATCTAGTTTTCTTTAATGAATGTTTTCTAATTTTCATAATATGTGTTATCTAATTTTCCTTAGTGTATGTTTTCTAATTTTCATAAAATGAGTTGTCTAATTTTCCTTAGTGTATGTTTTCTAATTTTAATAAAATGTGTTGTCCTTAGTGTATGTTTTCTAATTGTCCTTAATGTGTGTTTTCTTATTTTTATTTCTGTCTCACTCAGCATTGCCTTTTGGGTGGGAAGAAGCATATACAACTGATGGAGTCAAGTATTACATCAAGTAAGTCAATAAACAGGATCATCCCTCGCTCTCGTCTATCAGGCTTATGTTCTCAGCACTCTGCTTTACGGCAGTGAAACTTGGTCAACTTATTCGCACCAGGAGAAACGGTTCAATAGCTTTCACATGCGATGCCCAAGAAGAATACTTGGCAATAAGTGGCAGAACAAGATTACAAACATTGAGGTATTGGAAAGACAAGAATTACAACAGTTTTTCTCAATGCACAGTCTATGAAGGCTCAGGTGGCTGGGTCACATCTCGAGGATGGCAGAGTCCCTAAGGACATTCTCTATAGTGAATTAATGATGGGTAGAAGATGTCGAGGCAGGCCTCTACTACGATATAAAGATGTGTGCAAGCGGAACATGAATGATACAGGTATTGAGGTGGACTCGGAGAGAAAAATGCCATGGACCGTCTTGCATGGAGGGGGGGGGGGAGGGGGGGGGGCACATTGGGAATTGAATGAGAATGAAGGATGAAGTGATTCCAGAAATGATGAGAGTTGAGTGTCTGAAAAGAAACACACTAAACATAAATGTTTATAACAGGGACCCTGAAATTCTGTGCTATAAATGTGAAAACTTCTCTTAATGCTGGCGGGTCTTGCTAGTCACACTCGCCATTGCCATGGGCAGTGAGTCCCATGCCTCCTCATAGCACAGTAAAACACTATGATCTGGAAAGGTGCCAATCAATCAATGATAATCTCAGATGCATCTATTTCTGCATCATTTGCCCGAAAGGTCACCATACCCATGAGGTGTGACCTTTACTTAGTTTACTTACATCTGGTTTAAAAAAACAGTCATCTCAAATGTTGTTACATCAAATTCAAAGATGATAGCATTTTAAATATTACGCCTTTTCGTGTGTGTTCCAGGGTCCCATTGTGGGGAAAACAAGAATGTACCCACTGCTTCCCCAACAAGTATGTCTTAAGAGTCAACTAACTGGGGGCTTACTTTAAAGTCAGAGTGCATCTGCCTGAGAGGCAAGGAACCAGCAGTCTGCATATAGATAAGCAAGATCTGTAAAATGGATGCACACGCAAAACTCGAGCCCTGAACAAAGCCAAAGTCAAGAAATGGATGAACACCCAGGTCTTTTCACCAGGGTTTACAGCCGGTGAACGCAGAAAACAAATGATACGCCAAGTTCTTCTTCTTCTTCTTCAGCACTCTGAGCGAGAGGAAATCTTTGAAGGGTTACGGCTATCTGTCTGTAGTATGTAGGGGCTGCCCAGCTATAACGTGTGTGTGGTCTTGTATGGTCTCTCCAACACACCGACTCTGTGTATTTTCAGTAATATCAGGCTGTGTGCTCATCATCAACATCAATTGATAACACAACATTCCATAATAAGCACTTGACCTTGGATCATAGATACAAGATAGTGATGTCATGATTCTGTAACTATTCAGTTCAGTACTGTATTAAATTCCCACACTTGTATCCATACAACTAGAAATATCTAGCAAACTAACCTTATCTGATATCTGGCACTAAAACTGTTGGCTACATTACCAGCTGTATAGAATTTGCCATGCAGTATCTGTCAGCACGGGAACGGTTGTAGGTCTGTAACTTTCGATGCTTCGTTCACTCTAACTCCCTGTTGCTCCACTCTTCCTCCAGTGTCAAATTGTGCATTGTGCCAATTTCGCTGTCAGTTGTTATGAACTTTATTTATTGTTTTGTGAATTAATAATTAAGTCCAGGTGTGGTATGGGTCATGACAACCATGAAGAAAGAAATACTGCTGTGTAAAATCTACACAAGTAGCAAAAGCTTTCGGCAAGTCATTTGATTCAACTGTCTTGGACTAATCATTTGATGCGAGATGCCTTGCACAGATTAGAACAAGAAGAATCATCGCAAAAATTGCCTTCAGCAAGAAGCAAAAGATCCTTACCCCAAAAAAATTTGCAGTGAAAAAAAAGTGATAAAGGGCTATACAGAACCTGTATTGTATGTGCATATGTCCGGAGGGCCATGAAGATAACCCAAATCATAACTCATAACTGTGTGTGCATAAAGGTAAAGGTAAAGGTAAAGTCGGGAGATGAGAACCAGCGTCATTGCAAACGGTTATAAACAATAAGTGCTCTGCCACCAGTACAGACAGCTGATAAGAAACTGTCTGCTTGTGTCGCCGTCCGCACGCAACTCCATAACTGCAGCCGCGTTCCTCCATTTACCCCAGGGTGTTAACTCTGGTGCACATTTCCTAAAAGCTGTGTGAACCCTGGGAACCGCCCGGTTTCGAACACCGGCCGTAGGCTGCAGCAAGTCGCTCCTGGATTAGAAAGCGAGTCTTCTATCAGCTGCGCTAACACGACAACCTTTTATGTGCGTGTGAGACATAAATAGTAAGCTGCAAAGCTGATAATACTGTGGAATGATGGAAAAACAAATTAGGCAGGTCTTGCTGAGTCATACGAATATCATAAACTGATTAGAGAAATTAGACATAGACAGTTGGTGGATAGGACACACATTGAGAAACCTTGAGAACAGAATAACTAGAATTTATCTGGTTCCTTGCCACTACCTCACACTTTCCTACCCAAGATGTCTCTTGTATCCTGTGCCCTCTTTCTGCTGTTCGACCCCTGCCTCTCTTTTCTGGTACTATGCCTGTGCTGCTATTCGTTTTAATGTACTGTGGCACTTGATATGGTCAAAATATATATAATTTCTGAGAAAAGATAATTCTTCTTCTTTTCCTTCTGCTTCTTCTTCTTCTACTACTACTTTTTGCGATCATGTCATATGCAGAGGTTATCAGCTGAGTTGCCTCTATGAACCGGCACATCAGCAGCAAATTTCCAAGAGTTCCAAAAAGTTGCCTCTATGAACCGGCATGTCAGAAGCAAGTTTCCAAGAGTTCCCCAAAGTTGCCTCTATGAACCAGCATGTCAGCAGCAAGTTTCCAAGGGTTCCCAAAAGTTGTCTCTATGAACTGGCACTTCAGCAGCAAGTTTCCAAGAGTTCCTCAAAGTACCCTCTATAAACCGGCATGTCAGCAGCAAGTTTCCAAGGGTTCCCCAAAGTTGCCTCTATGAACCGGCATGTCAGCAGCAAGTTTCCAAGGGTTCCCCAAAGTTGCCTCTATGAACCGGCACGTCAGCAGCAAGTTTCCAAGGGTTCCCCAAAGTTGCCTCTATGAACCGGCACGTCAGCAGCAAGTTTCCAAGAGTTCCTCAAAGTACCCTCTGTGAACCGGTACATCAGCAGCAAGCCTCCAAGGGTTCATAAAAGTTGCCTCTCCTCTCTAGCCATTTGTTTTCTCACAGGTTTTGCTGTAGGGGCAGTATGTGCACATGGTTTGGAGTGCCATTTGGCAGGGACACTGGATAGATTGTGCAGCCTTTATGTACCTGTGTGGTTTAAGTCTGCAATATCCTATTCTTAGTCAAAAATTTTGGTGCACTGTCTTTTATTTAGTCTGTTGGACGTTTTGCTTTTAGTTCGTCACCTCCCGAAGTTTCTGTACTTCTCATGATCAGTGTCTTTACCTTTTTTTGTGATTTGGAATGGAGGTCCTGTTTTCTCACTGCTCCTTTTTTAGGCCACTTTGTCTGCTAACTCATTTCCTGCCATACCAAATGATCTTGGATGCACTTTAGCACAAAGGCAGATGTGGTCAAGACCCTTTGAAAACAAGCAACAGAATCAGTAGAGAGGAAAGATTATTATGGCCTGGAGAGATTGCGCAACCTGGGTGTAATCAGAGGGTCTAGCCGGCTCCATGGATATATAACCAGATTGGGACCTGTACCATCAGTATTGGAACTCTGCGCTGGCTGCTGAAGATGAGGATTGAGCACACATGGGATGCCCTGAGTGCTGTGATGTCAATTCTTAACTCAACTCTGAATAAATTAGTCTGGTTGGTCTCTAACAGTTTGTTGGGTTGGTAGGTCACCTCCCTTTCCATGTTATCTTGTGGTTTTCCTTGTGTAGCCTGTAGGACTGACATGCAGGCACACATGATCCTAGATTGGAATCCTTGATGTTTCTCTCCTCAAGGATCCTTGCGGCTTTGGTGATCGTCTATTGTTTGGCTCTGAATTTTGATGAGAGATTTCTAGCTGCGCATGACTTTTGATCTTTGATTCCATCTTTTAGTAATATTACCACTACTTCGCTCCACTGTTTCTGTTGAAGACCCTTCTGTGTGTTTGTTTATCCAATCAGTGCATAGATAAAAATGTAGTCTGATGGATGCCTTTGTTCTCAGGGTGTCTTATGTTTGCTGAGATTTGTTTCCCCTGTACTTTGTATTGTTTTTGTTGCTACCTCTGTGCAGTTTAGTTGCTTCTCTGGGACAGTCTCCATTGCTGTTTATTATGTAGCCTAGACAAGATAGGTCAGAGCTGAGAATCAGAACAGAACAATGTTAGATACGGGTAAGTACGTAGGTAGTTGTACCCCACCAGGACATCACACAAGCGATAAACACCTGATGGAGACCCATAGAGAGGTCCCAGAAACCCCTTTAAGCCAATATGCCATATTTATGGCTAGGCCATATCTATGCCCAGGGAGTCGCTGTGGCCAAGTGGCTAGACACTCGTCGCGGATTGGAAGGCCGTGGGTTGGCTGCCAGGTCGACCCAGCCTTGAGTGGGTACCGGGTGCAGTCTCAGGAAAGTGAAGGCGGCCGGTGCAATGCTGATCACATCACTCATCTTGTGCCGATTGGTCTATAAAAATATAGGTCTAGCCCTATATGCCCTATACGTCTAAAGGCGTGGAAAAGGGTCCTTTATTTTTTTTTACTTATATCTATGCCCCGGCTAAATTTAGGGTTGGGCTTCAAAGAAAAAATTGCATCCCACATGGGGAGGACTTTATATGTTAGATACATACAATGGCAGCTGTGGTCCTGAAATCAAATTCTCTCATTGCAGAAGACACTTTTTTTTTCAAATAAAGGCATTAGAGAGAAAGCTGGAATAAGACCATGTCTGGATTATATTGACAGACAAC